TATCAAAAGCCGCTGAGAGGTCCAAAAGAACAAGGACAGTGGAATACCCTCTGTCCCGGGCCCTCCAGAGATCATTAACCAACGCGACCAATGCCGTTTCCGTGCTGTGCCCGGGCCTGAAGCCCGACTGGTATGGGTCTAGATAGACAGTTTCATCCAGGTGCCGGGGGAATTGCTGTGCAACCACACTCTCAACAACAGACCATTGTGATTCGCTTAACAACTGTGGCAAAAAAGTCATAAAATCAGACACAACTGAATTAAATGACCAGATCACTTAGCAATGGAAGTCCCGATCCCGATTGTTGTCGTAAATAGAGGACAACCCATATATGGATTTATATATGTGTATAGAAATACACAATTTTTTATCACTTTGAAGCCTACCTGCCATATTTCCCATTATGAAAAAGTTCAGTGGTCCTTATGGTGTGTTCCTTTGAGAGTTATGAACATTTACAGATTGAGGGACTTTGTGAAATATTTAAGAGGAAAGAAGGACAATAAGATTGTAATTGATGGTGAAAAGAGGGTTGGAAGTGATTTATATATTTCTTAACTTAACCTTTTACTTTTAATTTTCTTACACTTTTTGTTTTGAATTTTTCTTTTGTGTATGATACGAAAATTCTAATAAATATAAATTAAAAGATTTATGAGCATTTGTTTGACATATTTTTCCTTTTGAAAGAAATGTCAAAAACAAATCCTTTTTCATCATTTTGAATGAAAAATAGTAGAAAAAATATATTTCTGTTATTTTTGTGCACAGTTTTAATTTTACCACCAACTTGCATAGCCATGTAAATATAAAATTCCACAGGTTAACTTACTGAATATGCAGTCCTTCATTTTTGTGTATGTACCGAGTCTGTAATTATTTAATATTGTAATAAACATAAGTTATTGTTGATATTTGGCAGACATAATATAATTCAAGAATAGACAATATAGTTAACTGCATCCAAAGGATTTAACAGGTAGCCATTTTTTAAACTATTCAATGTGCCATTAAAATGCATTATGCAGTCTTTTTTCTGTTAAGAGTCTGTTTTGTCGTGTCATTTTTAGATGCTATATGGAAGTGGAAATTGATATGGAATTAAATAGTTGGCACTGAAGCTTTTTGTCTCTACAGTAATGGGTTACCTTTTTCTTTCTGTTGCATAGAAGACTCTGTGAGAAATGATGTGTAACTATTAAGAAGTCTTGAATGATAGTTTACAGAAAGCTTTTGAATTTAGGTCAACTAATCCCTATTATAAAGTTTAAATTATCTGTGAATCACTTGCTAATTGCCATATGATTGTTTAATAGGGGCGCAGATCAGTTCGCTATGGAGATTTTCAGTATTGTGACCAAGCCAAATCTGTGATAGTGGTAAGTTACATTGTTTAACTTTCCTTAGTTAATAGTAAATTATTGGTTCAGCATTATCATCTCACAATTATAGCTTATCTGTACTTATAACAAAATGCATGCTTTAAAGTTGCAAAGAAATAAAGAAAATAATTATTCAATATTGGAAAGACAAAGACTACACAGGAATGAAATATGTTTGATTGCTCCTTAGTTGCAAAGGATATTGGGGAAAAAATGGTATAAGAATTTAAATTGACATATGATGCTATTCTTTTATCAATTTGTAAGATAATTCAAAAGCAGTTACTGAATTAAAATGGTTGGCATCTTGTATTAAAAATTATACCTTGCAAATAACATTTTCCTTAACCTTTTTAAAGTATAAGTGATTATACTTTGTTTTAATGAAACATTTGACTTTTACACCCTTCTTCTCTTACTCATTTTAAGAGAAGTACTACTCGCCAGACTCGGCCATTGAAGGTTCAAGTTATGCGTTCATCTATTGTTGCCCATCAAAGCTTTGGTCTGAAGCTTCTCACTTGGCTGAGTAACATTATCGGATATTCAGGTACTAGAGTTAAAATATCTTTTAAAAAAAAAGATCTGAGGGAAAATGTATATGAATGAAAAACTAGAAAATATTTTCTATATACTGAAAGATAAGGGTAAATATAAACAAAATGTTCTAATTAATTACAAGGTTTTTTTTACTTAAAAAAACCCTTTAAATTGGAAGAAATATGTAATTGGATTTCTTAATATTATTTTTCTAAAAGAAGCTGCAAGAATATTTTGCACTGAAATCTTATTGTGGAAGGGTATTCTTGAATATTCAGTATTCAAAATCATCTCATGGAAGGAAAATGTTAAAGGCACAATTGTGCCTCATTTATATCAAATTAAGACAGAAAAGGTTGACTTGATTTTGACTTCTCTTGTTTATATTATGTGTGGAGAAACTGTGTCCCTTTTTGCTATTTGACACATAAGGGATGACAGGAAACATAGTTCAACAGCAGTCGGAAGGCAGCTGATCTCTCCATTTCAGCTATGTAATTAAAAGCAAATTTAGCAGTATTTCACTTTGAAAATTCTGTTGGAAGGGTCCATTTTCTTCTTTTGAGATGGGAACTTGTGCTACGCTTTTTAAAACTCTTAGGAACTTTAAGAAATGCAATTACTATTATATATAGCTAGTTTTAATTTAAATAGGCAATGTAAATACTTACAGTGCTAAGGTTCTGAATATTAGTGATTAAATGTCATAAGTATAACAGAACTAAATGTATGTGAAATTTGATTATGGAGGCAGACCAATGCCCCCTTTTGACTCTTCTCTCCTTTTTAATTAGATGGTCTTCGTAGAATATTGTGCCAAGCTGGTTTACAAGAAGGACCGGAAGGAGAAAATTCTTCCCTTGTTGATAAATTGATGCTTTCTGATTCTAAACTTTGGAAAGGTGAATTATTTGTTCTGTTTTTTAAAAAAGAATTCTAATATCACCAAGTGTTGATACATTTTATGTAGCCAGCTATGCATTGCTTGCTTCTTTGGCTATTTTCCTGCATGACCAAAGAATATGTATTTTTGCTACTTGCCAAGTATCAGGCTATTTTTAAGCATTCTCTTAAGAAGTGATTTCTATTAACAGTTTCAAAAATTGTTCTGAATAAAAATGCATAGGATTATACTGCAATCCCTTTATAATTAGTAGAACTAACTTTATAGGGTTGATTAGTTTCTGACCAGGATTTGGGAGCACAGTTTGAAGTTCATTCTGATAAAACAGCATCTTTCTCCTCAGAATTTGTACATATTTATTGTACATATTTATTATTTAAATATCTGCAAATATTGAAATGTTTATTAATTTGTAAATATGTATTGTAAATATTGTGGCAGCCCCTCAAATATCAGAATTTGAGAGGTTCCACAAAGAGGAAGGGGTCAACCTATTTTCTAAACCACCAGAAGGCAAGACAAGAAACAATGGATGGAAACTAATTAAGGAGAGAAGCAACCTAGAAATAAAAAGAAATTTCCTAATAGTGAGAACAATTAACCAGTGGAACAGCTTTCCTTCAAAAGTTGTGGATGCTTTATCACTGGAGGCTTTTAAGAAGAGACTGGATAACCACCTGTCTGTAGTGGTATAGGATAGCAATAGCAGTAGCATTTAGAGTTATATACCACTTCATAGTGCTTTACAGCCCTCTCTAAGCGGTTTACAGAGTCCACATATTGCCCCCAACAATCTGGGTCCCCATTTTACCAACCTCGGAAGGATAGAAGGCTGAGTCAACCTTGAGCCAGTCAGGATCGAACTGCTGGCAGTTGGCAAAGTTACCCTGCAATATACATTTTAACACTGCACCACCACGGCTCTCCTGCTTGTGCAGGAGGTTGGACTAGAAGACCTCCAAGATCCCTTACAATTCTGTTATTCTGTTAAATACATGCTCATCATCTGGATAAGCAACATTATACAAAGCACAGAAAAAAGTAAGAAATAGTTCAGTAAACAAAATTAAGGCGGGAGATAAAAGGAAATCTAAAGTTATTTTATACCTACACTACTCACCATACCTCTCCATATCTTTCTGTGCTTACCCAACATCTTTCTGTGCTTACCCAACATCCTTGCTTCCACCACGTTCTGAAATTAATTCATATATATTTTACCTCTTGCTCTTTAAACTTCTTTCTTTCTGAGAAACCCTTTAATGTCGACAAGCACAACTCTTCCTTATAATCCAGTCACTCTTTCATATAACTGTTTAGATTTTTCAATAATTTTTTTCTCCATATGATCAGACCACTTCACTGAACTTTCTTCATAGTGATCATAATTTAATATCCATCCATCCATCCATCCATCCATCCATTCATAACCCTTTTCTTGTTTTAGCTACACAAGGTTCTTAGATAACTAATTCCCACTGCATTCATCTTTTATACTTCTGACACACAAAATTAATCATAGGATTAGAAGGAATCTTGCAGGTCTTCTCATCCAACCCCCTGCTCAGTGTAGAAATCTTCATACCTTCCCGTCAAATATTTGACCATTCTTTTCTTGAAAGTTTCCAATGATGGAACACCCATAATTTCAGGAAGCAGGCTGTTCCATTGCTTAGTAGCATATTACAAAATGTGCAGAAACACTCTGATATATGCAGCCATTTTCACCCATTTTGACAAATATTCATTTTCCACAATAGTCAACATACTAGCTACTACCTTTTACCAATGTTTTTCTATTTTAAGATTCTCCATTATTTCCCCTATTTTTAGTAAGCATTTTGCCAGTATGCATTAATTCATTGTTTTATAGGGCCATCTGTTACATAATAGTTCCATGGTGTAAAAATGTTTAGTGTTATTTAGTATTTAGTATCATTTTTAATAGACTATTCTCATGAAAGTCATCATCTAATATATATATATATTCCTGATGATTCCTTACTCTACCCTCAGGAGCTAGAAGTGTGTATCATCAGTTATTCATGAGCAGCCTACTTATGGATTTGAAATACAAGAAACTGTTTGCTTTCCGGTTTGCCAGAGTGAGTAATTTTCAGTTACAAATTCTTATAATATTGCTGATCTGGCTTGGTTACAACTTTGATTCTGGATGAAGTTGCACTCTCCCTATAGAAAATTATCCATGGTTTGGGAGTGGCACCTGCTATAGCAGCAGGCAAAAGCCAATTGTGGGCCTTTTAGAATCAGGAGACCATTGCAACAACGCCTTGTAAGCTTCCACAAGTTCCAAATGCAGCAACCAGTCCGCTAACTAGAGGTAGCAAATTAACTAGTGTTACATCTCTGTTGTGATTACTGCAGTGATTACAAATATGATTCTAGAGCAGATTCAAAGTACTCTACATAATTTGACCCCCAAATGTGTATAGAATAGTTTTCTCATCTAGTTTGAGATCACCCCCTGTGGTCTCTGAAGGATCACCATCCAGATAAAGTAAATGGTAGTTCTTCTCAGTGGCTATCTTTCTCTTTAGAATATCTTGCCTCCCAAGATATAAAATGCCCCTAACGTAGTAGAATAAATGAAGATTCAATTTTTATGAGGCATTTTTTGATACTCAAGGTAAAAAGGTGGCACTTCACTAGTTGGTTGAATTATTATTAAGCAACTTCTCCTAATAAATATCATGTTATTTAAGTGGCCTTAAATTGAATTGAAGTAATAATGTTCAATTTTCCATTAACTCTTATTCTGTTGTGTATATTGTAAAAACGATTTCTATATACTGCACAACTCCAATTTACTTTAAATATTGGTTGAATCCAGAAATGTTTCCTATAACAATGGATACATTTGGTATTTGTATTTAATTTCCTATTGTCCCCTTATCCATAGGTTAGTAATTTGAGATATAAACAGTTGCCAGTTTTAGGACATAGTTTTCCATCACAAATATGAAACTTAGAGAAAACATCCAATCAGTGCAGATTAGAGGTGAATTTCCCCTTGTTGTTTAGAATTATCGGCAGTTGCAGAGAGATTTTATGGAGGATGATCACGAGCGGCCAGTGTCGGTGACTGCTCTCTCTGTTCAGCTCTTCACTGTACCTACTCTGGTGAGTAGTGCTACCTTTTTTAAAACTGATAGTTGGCACTTTTTGCCTTTTTTGCCTTCTTCTTAATAGAATTATGAGCGATTGCAGAATGATTATGTGAAAGATGACCACGACAGAGAGTATTCAATTGCTGACCTCTCGGTGCAGATTTTCACAGTACCTTCTCTTGTAAGTATTTCAATGTTGAATGAAACCCTCTGTTTGCTCTGAAGGCCACTTAAATCTAATACAGATATAATATATTATTATGATGTTTGGAATCCTAAATATTGATTGAGTCTTATAAAATTTCATGATTAAAGAAGACAGAGCCTGCCTGTAACATAATTATAGTCTGTTGATTGAAAAAAAGAGAGCCAGTATGTGGTAGTGGGTAAGGCACCAAACTAGAAACCAAGAGGCTATGAATTCTAGTCCTGTCTTAGGCACATAGCCAGCTGCACAGAAGACGCTATCATCTTTAAACTCCAAAATACGAGTCCAATAAATGGGTCATCATACATACAGCATACTAAACTTTTGGTCCTAAGACCAAAAAAATTGGGAATCATTGTACTATAAAAATCCAAGAACAGCCTTGAATTGAAGGAAGTGCATATCCTGTCTTAGATTACAGCTTGACTTTTGGGGGTGGGCCTAATATAAGCTCTACCCCAAAAATAAGTCCTAGTTTTGGGGCAAGGCACACACCTAAAAATCAAGCTGGGGTGTGTGTGGAGCTGCCCCACATGCTCCGCAACCACTTACCTTGCAACCAGGCCTCCTCGCCAGCCCACTTCTTCTGCAGTGTCCCCAGGCCTGCATTTTGCAGTCAGAGGCCTTTCTGGAAGACCACTGCAGCCGAGAAACGAGCTGTGGATTCAATCCATAGCTCAGTTCTGCAAGGTCCTGCAGCTGAGAAACAAGTTACGGATTGAATCCATAGTTTGGTTCTCGGTTGCAGTGGCCTTCCAGAAAGGCCTTTGACTGTGAAATGCAGACCAGAGCTCCATTCTCAGCTGCAGAATGAAGCTGCTCTTTTGGCCGCAGAAGAAGTGGGCCAGGGCTGCCAAGGTGAGTGGAAAAGACATCCCCTCCCCCCAAAATAAGACCTGGTCCCTCTTTTGGAGGCAAAAAAAAAAAAAAAAAAAGACCGGGTCTAATTTTGGGGGAAACTAGGTAGTCATTTGAAGTTACACAGAAGTAAATTCTGCTTGCCTGCTCTACTGATATAATATAAACACTATTCTAGGGAGATGGATGTTTCAAAGCGGAAGCTAAACATCTCTGTGACACTTTGATTTTTCTACCTGCATTGGCTAGGGATGGAACTCAGTGGTAGAAATCTCCCTTGCAACTTGATGATTCTATTCATATTTTGGAGAAATACAAGTGGATGCTATAAGAAAAATGGGTATCTTCTTAAATTATCTCAATAGCACACATTGTAAAAATGTTTGCTGTTGAGATAATTTCAGTGCCATATAGCTTCAGCAAATTTGTATGTTCATGTTCTATCAATTATAAAAAAATAAATGTGATTACTATTCATGAGATCAGAGTACTTACCAGCAGATGTTCATTCTTAATAGATGATATTAACTATGATGCAAAATTTCAGAATAATGGTATATTTACTTAAAAGTAAAATTTTTAGAGGCATGGATTTCTAACAATTTATCTTATTCTTCCTTTAATTATATTGGAACATGATGATTCTGCTGGTTTCCCATTCAGGAACTATCTGCCATTTGGTGCTAAAAAGAACAAATAATTATTGGAAGCTGTTGCTTCAGTTTCTGCAGTTTCTGATTAAAACACACTTTAAAATGTACTTTTGCTATAGGCAAGAATGTTAATTGTAGAAGAGAATCTCCTGACTACTATAATCTCAACATTTATGGATCACTTACGACATAGAGATATACAGGGGAGATTTCAGTTTGAACGGTATACTGCACTACAGGCATTCAAGTTCCGACGAGTGCAAAGCCTGATTCTGGATTTAAAGTAAGTGTGCTTACTTTATTTATCACACAAATATATTTTTATATAAATACAAAAATCAGCCTGCAAATTTATTTCTGCTATACATAGGTATGTGTTGATAAGCAAGCCAGTTGAGTGGTCAGATCAACTGAGGCAAAAATTTCTAGATGGCTTTGATGTCTTCTTGGAATTGCTGAGGTGTATGCAAGTAAGTAATTTACAAAAATTGTACCGTATTAATTGCGTGATTACAAATGAGATAGTGAAAATGGTTTTTCATATAGTTGTTACATTTCCAATACCTTTTACATTAGGTTTCTCTGTTCTTGGGGATAGAATCACTTTTATTGCATGATTAATGTCACCTCAGTTTCACCTCAGATTAATGTCACCTAATTTCTCTACAGTCCTCTTTATTAATCAAGATTTTCTTGTGAAGAATTGTTGATCCTCAGGAAGTCAGATGCTAATGGGGTGGTGAGCCAGAATTGTAATAGATATAATTTTCAGCATTGCAGGTTTGTCTAGTTCCTCTACCACAGTGGTTCTCAACCTATGGGTCGCGACGCCATTTGGGGTTGATCGACCATTTCACGGGGGTCGCCAAGCAAGGCTGTCCGCCATTTTTTTTCCCCTTTTCCGGCGGGTGCCTTACCTCCCTTGAGCTGGGCCAGCTGGTGGTCGGCCTGCTCCGTCTCTGCCGCTTGCCAGCTACGCCTCAGCCGGTGCAGGGGGCAGAACCACGCATGCGTGGCGCTCCCGGGCAGGGAAAGTCCTCGACTTACGACCGGTCGGGTAGTCCTCGACTTACGACCGGTTTAGTCCTCGACTTACGACCGGTTTAGTCCACGACTTACGACCGGTTGGGGATCGCGGCATTAAAAAGGTTGAGCTTTTTCATCTGCTCTACCACAAATGAAATTAGGATGAGCAAACTACAGAAAGCCCTTTTTCTATCTTGGCTATAGACAATCACTAGGCAAAGACTTGCTGGGTCTTAAGCGTTAATATTTCTTTGTTGTTTTCATCTGTGTCTGGAGGGTATGGATCCAATAACCCGCCAAGTAGGACAGCATATTGAAATGGAACCAGAGTGGGAAGCTGCATTCACACTGCAAATGAAATTAACACATGTTATCTCAATGATGCAAGACTGGTGTGCTTTAGATGTAAGTTGTTAAAATATTTCAAATATATTTGAATGAGGGGAATAAAGAATCCTCAAGATTTCTTTATGTGATTTGCATCAATAAGCTTGAGTTATTTAAAATGGAAATTCAAATGCTCATGATTTTTAAGCAAAAAACATTGGAGTAAAATAAATTAACACACAATCTTCAGGTCTGGCCTAGGATTATTTCAGAAGGAATAAAAGGAAAAGGAGGTGTTCATTAATATGAGATTAATTATTTGATGCAAAAATTACTGTGAGTTATATATTTGTAGCTTCAGTTTTGTGCTCCCTCTCTAACTTTCTTTGGATAATTTAGAGATTCTTTAGAACAGGGAGTAAAATAAAGGGGAAATTCCTCTTATTTTACTTATTGAAAACTTAGGCTGTTAAAAAAGTCTGTCATTAGCACAGAAGCACAAATGTATCCATTGAATCAGAGATGGACAGAATGGATTGAATGAAATTCATACTATTGTAGTGATTCTGTGGATAACAAATGATAAATTATTTAGAAATATATATCTGGCTGAGACAAATCTTTGTATTCGAACAAACTGATACAATGGGAGGCAGTTTGAGAAATATTCTAGTTTCACTTTTTTGCCTACCTCTTAAAATGGTATCCTGAATGTGAATATGGCTGGATGCATTTTTTTTAATGGAAAAAGAATATTTTGATAGCTTCAGACATGGCAGGAAATCAGTGTATGAGGAAAAGAGCTAAAATTCATAATCACTAGATGCAAAACAAAGTCTTGTGAGCTGTCTCTGCCAAGTCCATCCTCTCTACTCTCTAATAGTCTAATAAAGAAGTCTAATAAAGGAGAATATTTGTAGTTTAGGGTTGACATGAGGAGTCCTTGGTGTTCTCTGAGCTTGGTTGTTTTCTTGCAGACATTTCATTACCCAAACTCATCGGTCTCTAGAAGTCTGCTCTAAATGAAATGATAAAATATCCTAGAAGAAAGTACTAACAATAATACTGCAGCTCCCATTGCAAGCCCTAGAGGCTACAATAGAAAACTTTTTCTCACCAGTATTTTTTTCCCTTATTTGGAGATAAATAAAATCAGAATTTAAAGTGTCTTATATGTGCTTCCTATGTTTTTACTTCTGCCACTAAAGTTTTCTTTGTAAGATGGATTTGTATATCTCCCACCGCCTACTATGATACAGTTCCAACAGTTATTGAAACAGCATTGGCAAATACACTCTAAATAGGCTAGATAATCAATTTTCACTTGTTTATCTTGATTACAAATGCATGATAATTTTGTTACAATTTTAAGAGCTGTATTTCCTGTAAATATAATTACCCTTAACCTTTATAGGAAAAAGTGCTTATTGAAGCATATAAGAAATGTTTGACTACTTTGATGCAATGCCACTGTGGTTTTACTGATGGAGAACAGCCTATTGAACTCAGCATGTGTGGCCATTCAGTTGAAACTATTAGATACTGTGTTTCTCAGGAAAAAGTTAGCATTCATCTTCCTGTTTCCCGTTTACTTGCAGGTAAGACCTAAATTGCTTAGTTGATTTGGTGGTTAAATTTTAATGTGGTTTGTTTTCCTAGTTGTAACACAAATTTTGTCTTTTGATTGGTATCGTTGTTGGTTGCAAATGAAGTCAATTCACTTTACAACAAAGACAGCTAGTAGGTTGTATGAAATGTTTTAATATATATTGTCAGGTTCAAATTCAACTATTCTTACCAGTATAGCAATTTATCATTGGTGTGTGTGTGTGTGTGTGTGTGTGTGTGTTAGATGTAGCTAAATCTTGCATACTATAAGGAATGGTATCCATCTTCTATTGGTTCAAAGGCCACAACAATTTTTGGGTAGCAGTAAAAATCCATACTTTAAAAATGGACATCTACAAAGTTCTTTTGTGAGGTAAATTGGATTCATTCATAAATATTTTCCCCCTAAAATGCAAAAACTTTTCCCAATTTTTTTATCCCATCCATTTTGTGGAAAATATTGAAGCCACAAAAAGAATGCCCAAAAGTATTTGCATGGTTCCCAGGGGATATTTTTTTGTAATCTTAGTGTGAGGCTTGCCCAGAAAATAGGTTGCTTGTCATGCCCCAGCAGGATACTGTATGTCAGTCTATTAGTTTTGTATGCATAGACAAGCCATAAACCTGTTGCTTCTCAAGACACACCATGCACTATAAATGGATACTGTAATTGTTTGATTATAAAGGTTGAAGATCTCAGCAGGGGAATCTAAAAATAATTTTATAACATTCCAAAACGGGGTGTAAATTTTCATCCACATATAAGTAATTTAATTTCATGTAATAGCCAGGTTGTGTTCTGCCCAGTCTGGTTGTAATATCTGGAGTAAGAATGTAAAACCTATCTGCCACTCTTTAAACAGACATGACTTTTCCTAGGATCCACACCTAAACCAGTTTTGAAAATAGCTTACTCTAGTAATGTAATTGCTCTTCCTGATTACTTTTTTTGGACCTGAATGAGGGAATGCTCCTTTCTTGGTTCTTTTAAATCTGTCATCAGCCTTATTTACTATTGATTCTAGTATCTTTCTGAGTAGCTTAAGAAGATTGATAATCATGTCACTATATTACAATGTTTCAGCACTTCACTAAGTGAAGTGGCTTTCTGTCACTTCTGGCTGTGACTCTGGAAAGAGTAACACTCCTTTGAAGAAGCAAGTCAGCAATATGGTGTTGTCCTAGTCCAGGGGTAGGCAACTTTGGCTCTTTTATGATTTGTGCACAGAATTCCTGAGTCAGCATGGCTGGTTCAGGAATTCTGGGTATTGAAGTCCACAAGTCATAAAAGAGCCAAGGTTCCCTACCCCTGTCCTAGTCTCATGGTTACTGCTTGATCAGCAGGCAAAGGCTATGTCTAGAAGAACTTTTGCTGATCCTTGGCTGGTGCACCATTTGCAATCTCTTTTGGAATTGGAAGCTTTATTTCATTAATTCACATTGTAATCATCTCTGTGCTATCTAAACATGGCTTACAGTAGAAAACCATCTTTAAGACTACATTTGCTATAAAATATAGCAGTTTGTTTACTGATAAGTGAGAGTCATTACAGTTATGTGACATTGATTCTTTGGATGCTACACTGCCCACCAGTAGACTTCCAAGTGCTGTTCAAAATGATGGTTTTTAATTTATAAACCTTTCATGGCTCAGTACTAGATATCTCCAGGGCAATGTTCTTCAAGTACAACATTCCATTTGTCCCAAGCAGAGTTGATATAGATCCCATTTTATGTTAAGTGCATACGTGAGAATATAATGTTTTTCTGTTATGGTTTCAATCCTGTGGAATAGCCTACACAAGATCCTGCTGGCCTCTTCTCCGATGGTATTTAGAAAGATAGTGAAGATGGGTTTCACATATATTTAATCCATAATCTATAATTTAAACATAAAAATGTTTTTAATTAGCAGATGCTGAAATGGCAGATATTTTGTGGTTTTTACATTTCATATTAGTACTATTGTATTGATCAAATTACAAACCACCAGGAGTGTTTGGGGGATTCTGGTAGTATATAGGTACAATAAATAAATATTGTAGTATAATCAATATAATGCATTTTTGTTTTTAATATAGGTCTACATGCACTTTTGAGCAAAACAGAAGTAGCATACAAGTTTCCAGAACAACTGCCAATGGTGAGTAGTATTATGTTAATAAACCTCTAAGCCTGGGGTACAAGTGAACTGTTAGTTAGAGAGATCCAGAGGTGACAGTGCCAGAACCATAATAGCCATAACTTCCTATTTTTTAAGTCATGGCAATGAATTTTTGAATGCTCTTTAAAAATATAAAACAAATACATTGAGTTTTGTGTTATCTTCAATTGATACAGAGTGAACTTAGTCCACCTATGTTAATTGAACATCCCCTGCGATGTCTAGTTCTGTGCGCCCAAGTTCATGCTGGAATGTGGCGGAGAAATGGATTTTCACTTGTTAATCAGGTAAGTCCTGAATGGAAAAATTTATTTAATCTTTTTCTTTTATCTGAGAATCATAGAACAGTTTGATTTTCTTATTGCTAAAGTGCTCTGCATAAATGATTAATTTTAAAGCTGTGGTCTGATTATATGTTTTCCTAAATTTGTTTATCAAGGGTAGTTTTTTTTAACTCAAAAGGCTTGTTTATTTATTTGTATGTATGTATGTCGTATTCAATATGTGTGACACTGAATAAATATATGACGTTTTAATCTCCTCTGCAAGCTGTGGTACCTTTTTTTAATCTCAACTTTATTATTTTTTATAAATAACTCATGATGGCAAACATCTCTAATACTCCTTTCTCCTCCTATTTTCCCCACAACAACAACCCCTTGAGGTGAGGTGAGAAAGCATAACTGACCCAAAGTCACCTGGCTAGCTTTCATTCCTAAGGTAGAACTAAACACACAAATTCCTGGTTTCTAGCCTGTGGCCTTCACCATAGACCAAAAGAATTTCACCTACAGGGTTGCTGTGAGAAATATGCTGTGTACTTTGCAGATGAAGTCTCTTGCATTTGTTCTACATTGGATTCCAGCTTTAGAGCAGTGCCAGTGGAGGTTACAGGGCTAAATCTTGCAAGGTTATTTGAGGGGCATTTCATCCCGTTGCACCTGAGGATGTGAACAGGACTTTTGCAGCTGCTAGTTTGGCCATCTCAGTGTTCCATGTGTCTCTTGGCTGGCTAAAGTTACCTGGGAGGAGACATGACTGGGTTTGGGAGGTGGTTAATAATTCCTTGAGGGAGGGGTGCAACCTCTCCTGAAGGGGCCAATCAGTCTGGACAGCTTTTGGGTCTGTCAGTCTCTAACCTCTCATTTTTGGTATAGTTGTATAGAAGGTGGTCACATAGCAGCTGCAGAGAACCATGAATGAAGTGGATTATATGGAACCTTTTCAGTTAGGCTTCAGACTGGGATAGTGGACTTAGATGGCATTGATCATGCTCTTAGATGACCTCTGGCAGGAACGCAGTGGGTTCTCTCTTCTCTCCTATTTAATATATACATAAGGCTGCTGAGTGAAGTGACAGTTTGGGGTGAGATATCATCAATATGCTAATGATACTCAACTTTATACCCCCACCCTCGACTGCCTCAGTTCCTCTCATTTCATGAAAGTGGGGCTATAATTAAGAGCTTTTCCAAAGATAAATGTACCAGATAGGCTTATTCAATAGGAAGAGGTGGATACATACAAGGCATTATAGGTAAAAAAACAGATCACATCTGGGAATTTATTGGAATGAGGGGCCTGAAACTGAGGCATAATGTACCCATAATAAACAAGCCACTGATTCTTTATCAATTTCCAAATGATCTTCAACATAGAGTGCATTGTAATCATATAGTGATGACAGCTTGAGTTTCACTGTGAAAATATTAAGTCCATATAGGACTCTAACTGGCACAATGTCCAGGGCTTGGAAGTAGCCCTCATGACCATGGCTTCCATTTTCCAGACCAGTAGCCATGAATCCAAGAGACTTCCAAATAATCGACCTTTTCCTTTAGATATTTTGAGAGATAATACTGGAGTTGACCAATGAACAAACAATAACTCTCTCTTGCATAGATGCATTTTCAGCCTGTTTCATTGTGTCTTCAGCCTCAAGACACAGGTTCAAGACTTTCACAACCTCATTACTATGGTCTGGAGTGGCAGTGTACATTTGAGCATCATGAGCGTAGTGATGGTACTGTAACCCAAACCAATGGAGTATCTCTCCAATGGTATTATGTAGATTGAGGTAATGGGGCAAAGGATCAAGCCGTGAGGCTCCCCACAAAAAAGAAACCACTAAGTCAATCTCACCTCCCTAGTCACCACTGAGCAGAACTGCCCACAAGGAAGAAACAGCTACTGTAGAACAGTTGTTACTTCCAATCTTCAAGAGTGGTCCATAAAAATTTCATGATTGATGGTACTGAAAGTTGCTGACAGATCTAAGAGGACCAGGATGGTTGGGGAATCTAGGTCCTGATAAAAGTCATCCACCAATATAATTTCTGTCGCATGCCAAACCCTGAATTATGACTGAAAGAGAGGTAACAGTAATAGATTATAATTAGATAATCCACTTCCTCCACTGCATTCTGTAGCTGAACGCTCAGGATCCTCTTAGTAACTTTAGTGAAGGTTGGAGACAGAAAAATAGTTGCAAAAAATGGCTGAATCCAGTGACAGGAGCTTCCTTCAGGGCTGCAGGCATCATCATCTCACACAGAACAGACACTGACAATCTCCTAAACATGCCTCCACTTGCCTCCAAATGTGCAGAATGCAGCTGATGAGGATCATGTTAGAAAATCCCCTTTTTACTTTATCAGAGTCTACAAGTCAAGAAGATTCCCAGGTTATATGGTAATTTATTTTAATTGATCTTGTTCTTGTGAAATCAAGATTTTGATGAATCTGAGAAATTTTGTCAGCAAAATGCAATGTAAAGTGGTTGTAGCAACAAGACATCAAAATCCAAATTGAAACATATATCAAATTCTGAAAACTTTCTCTTTCAGATATACTACTATCATAATGTAAAGTGCAGAAAAGAAATGTTTGACAAAGACATAGTAATGCTCCAGGTAATATTTTTGTTTGGATAAACCTTGAGATGTCACTAATACATCTGCCTTCTTAAAAAAAAGTTTTTTTTAAAGTATTTCCTTACATTTTCTCTAATCAGTTGAGTTCTTTGGGAAAAAAATACTGCTTAGGTATTTGATGCTTCCCAATAGTCTGATGCTCTGTGCTTATTTTTTTTCTTTTCTGGTTCAGTGGCAAATCGAGGATCCTGGGAAGGAGGGCCACATGTTTTCTTCTGTGCATAAACTTACATTAAAAACAATACTCAGAATAGTACTTTATGCTGTCAGGTGTTTTTTTTTCAATGTACTTACCCTTTTGTGGCTATGGAAAAGTTATATATTAATATATTCTGATAAAACTGGTATTTTTAAAAAGTACAAAACTTGGAAAAACAAATATTCAATATGCTACTTTTGCTTGAAAGAGATATTACAGTTAAAAGTTTTAGAAAGGGCTATAATATGAAGACTCATGCTGCTTCATATGCAACTATTTCATTAAGTATTTGTATGTATAAAGGAAGACAGATTTTATATGTGAGTATGGCCAATAGTATATTTCAAAATAAATTTATATAATTCTGTTCTCTTTAACTAAACTTCCTTTTTTTTTTAGACAGGTGTGTCTATGATGGATCCAAACCACTTTTTGATGATGATGCTGTGTCGCTTTGAACTTTATCAGATATTTAGTACACCTGATTATGGCAAAAGATTCAGTTCTGAAAATACCAATAAGGTACATCATGAGATGTTGAAGATACAGTTTCAAAGCTTTAAAATGTATTATAAATAAATTACAAACTGTTATATCTTAATGTGAAAGTATCTATAAGTGCTTCCTAATATATTTTAGCCCTTGTTTCTTTCAGGATATGGTTCAGCAAAATAATACCCTCATTGAAGAAATGTTACACCTAATTATAATTATTGTTGGTGAGTTTATGCTTTTAAGTTAATATCTATTGATCAATTTTATGATTAATTCTAATTATAGTTAGAAGTCCTCCTATTTATAGAGGTTGTTTAAGTTCGTTCATTAATTTAATGTAGTTACAACTCCAAATGTTAAAGAATGAAAGTACAAATTACTTCCACTTCTTATGCTCCTTGATAAAATAAAATTATTTTGGGGGTGTTTATGATCATGACACAATCCTTGTATCTTGTCATATGACAATATAAATATCTCTTCAAATGTTGTACTAGAAAAAGTACCATAGTCACTTCTGTGGCTTCTATTCAGCATATGCATAAAATGGAATTGATCAGTGCTTAGTGAAATTATTGATTTGTTTTATAGGAGAGAGATTTACTCCAGGAATTGGGCAGATTAATGCTACAGATGAAATCAAAAGAGAGATTATTCACCAGCTGAGCATCAGACCCATGGCTCATAGTGAACTAGTAAAAGCATTGCCAGAAGATGTGAGTCTTATTAAAAAATATTTCAGTTGTTCTTTTTAAACTGGTGGGTGATCTTTGGGTATTTCTAATATGTTGGAATTGATGGTGAAGATTCCTTCAGATAGCAAGGAATTAAAAGTTTTTATAGAAAATGATTTCCCAGCAGGCTTTATGGATGTATTAAATACTTTCCCCACAATTTTATATTCCCTAGAAATTAGTAGATATATTGAATTTTCCAACCCACCCAGAGTACTTTATTTTGTTGCAATTTAATCACAGTGACTGTTACTACTACAATCATAAACAGGAAGGTGACATATGGGAAATAACATTTCAAAAACATAAAAAGATATTGTTATTTCAAATTATTTTGCATTCAAATTGTTGTGAGATTATAGAACTGTGTATAAAAAGTATAGTGACTCAATCACAATAACTAATGTTAAGATAGCAGAGTCTTAGAGACTCTTAAATTGTTAACACTTCTAGGTTACCAATAAAGGAGAATATTTGTAGCTCAGGGTTGAAATGAGGGGTCTTTGTTGCTCTCTGAGCTTGGTTGTTTTCTTGAAGATGTTTCATTATTCAAAACATCATCAGGGCTAGTAAAGAGTGGGGTTCACTCTCAGTTTATATTCTATCTGGTGGGAGTGGTTCTTGGAGGTTCTTCTCCAAGTGGTCTTGGAGCATAAATTAACTCCAAGATTAACATCAGACCAACAATCAAGAAGTAAAACAATACCCCAATCAAGGAACTGCCAAACAAGCTAACAATAAACAGCCCAACCAAAGAACTTCCAAGACTAGTCCCACCAACATTGACAGGGCAAGCCACTGAAGCAAACCTTATTCCTCACTAGCACTGACGATATTGCCTAGTTTGGGTAATTAAACATCTGCAAGACAACAACCAAGCTCAGAGAGCACCCTCACTTCCAGATTGATCTAGCTCAGTAGTTCTCAACCTGTGGGTCGGGACCCCATTTGGGGTCGATCGACCATTTCACAGGGGTCGCCAAGCAAGGCTGTCCGCCATTTTTTTTCCCGCCATTTTTTTTGTCCGCCATTTTTTTCCCCTTTTCCGGCGGGTGCCTTACCTCCCTTGGGCTGGGCCAGCTGGTGGTCCGCCTGCTCCATCTCTGCCGCTTGCCAGCTATGCCTCGGCCGGCGCAGGGGGCGGAACCACGCATGCGTTGCGCTCCCGGGCAGGGAAAGTCCTCGACTTACGACCGGTTGGGTAGTCCTTGACTTACGACCGGTTTAGTCCTCGACTTACGACCGGTTTAGTCCTCGACTTACGACCGGTTGGGGTCGCGGCATTAAAAAGGTTGAGAACCACTGATCTAGCTGATTATTACCTTAGGGAATGTATGAATGTATGTAAGTAGGGAATGTATGAAAAGCATATACGTATAAACATATTTTTCCTTTGATTTCACAGGAAAACAAAGAGACCGGAATGGAAACTGTCATTGAAGCAGTTGCCTGTTTCAAGTAATGGCTTCCTTACAACAAACCTCTTTAAATGTGTAAAATAATATATATTGTGACCCAGTAAATACTGTTTAGGACTGAGTTATACTTCATTTTTAAATCCTGCTTTATGATTGGTTTAATTGAAAATATAGACATTTTACAAATTTAAGAATTGACAGCTGTTACAGATAATGTAAGAAGTAAGATTCTGCATGTTTTGAGGGACTTTTTTTGTTAAAATACTAACAAAGCAAATTTTATTTTTTTTATTGTGATGAAAAATACTGTGTGGAAAAACTTCTGAGAAATATAGTTATATTAGCAGTAAAAATATCTGTTGTCCCTCATCTCCCCAAATACACCAAACATGTATTTGAAGACCAATTTATAAATTTGGATTTAGCCATTTCCTTGTTTTCGAAGGGTGGTCTTGCCTCAACAGGAATGAAGAAGTTGTTATGCCCAAAAGCAAAATGTTTAGTGGAGAAGCAAGGCAGAAACCACCAGTCTTGATGGTTATTATCAGGGCAGTGCAGCTCAGGAGAAAATGGGGATTTCTTTCCCATCTTATTCTGTGGGTTTAGGCAGCAACAAGAACAGGTTTCTTTACAATTAATAGCTTGACCATAAGCATGGTATCAATTGCCTGTGTACCATATATCACACATCTGTCATTTTAAGAAGCTACACATTTATCTTATATGATGGTAAATTGAAGGGCTGTCAGTGGACCCCATTGATGACCTATATGAAGTCAAATATAAGGATTCAGGTGGAAGGGAAGTCCTGTTTACCTGACATCATTCAGTCATCCTTCCATTCAGTCAGAGGCCCTGAGTCTTATTTTTGCCAAAGTAGAATCTGTGCTTGTAAGCAAATAAGCTTCGTGCAGTCATTAATACTGATACTCAGTTAAAAGTATAAGATGTCATTCATATTGATGTGTTAGTGTGCTTGTTGTTTCATGGAGTAGTTTAGAATGCTGTTGTTCAATTATTACAATGCTGATTAATCATTACAATGCTGATTATACATTTCCAATTATCTTTTAGGAAACCAGGATTAACAGGAAGAGGCTTATATGAGTTAAAGCCAGAATGTGCTAAAAATTTCAATTTATACTTTTACCATTTTTCAAGGGCAGAACAGTCTAAGGTAATTATGCAAAATGGAAACTTTCATTATATAATTCTATAAAATTATGAAGCTTTGTAGTACAAAAAACAGTTAAAATAATGACGTAAATTTGGATTCTCTTTAGTCAATACGTTGCAATGTAATGAGTACACCCTGAAATAAATGCCTGCATTATAGATTCAGATTGAGTTTATAACAGTAGAGTAGAGTATATCTTTGAAAGAAATAAAGTAGATTGGTTGTTTTGGTACTTTAAGTGTGAGTAGAAACAAAAAAGTGTTGCATGCATAGTTTCATGAAGGAATTAGAGATAGAAATTCTCTGCATGAAGACAATAGCAGACTCAGTTACAGCAGGAGAAAACAGTTCATTGAGAAACATAAATAGTTTATAAATCTCTGAAGGAAGTAAGATATGGGCAAGAAATATGAGGCAATTGGTGAGGCATTTATACAGGATAAAGATAATATATTACATGAGGAGGAAACAAATAAACAAAATTAATGATGTCAAGGTAGATGAAATATATGCCAGATGCTTACAGAGCTGAAAAAAAATGGACTGCATCTTTTCTGGTTTTGAAAACAGAAGGGTGTTATAAGTTTGGAATTTCTTTTAAGTTTGATTTTTTGCTGCTATTGTAACTTTTGGAATTATTTTTCAGAACAGTAGTTGAAACAATTTTAAATGAAAAAAGGTACTGAATAACAAATGCAACCCATAGAATATTTAAGATTCTTAGAAATTCATCTGCCTATGGCCACATTGTTCAGTCTGGAATCTGACAGTTGTCTTGGGCTATATCTCATTTCTGTTACAAATCACCATCACCATCATTATCTTGAAAGTGTTATTGGGGAGCTGGAAGTTACAGCTGCTTACTATTGAGGCCTAGTTAATTCTTGGCCAAAATGGCAGCACCATGACAAGATTGTACAGGAGTTACAATTTTCTCAGTATTTGATCTTACAATAGCATGTCAAATCTCAAACTCCTCCAAGTAGTGGGTAAGATAATGGTAAAATTAATTTTGACTATATAAACAGTTATTATGACTATTCTACCATCATATATTTCATTATTTCCCTCCTGCTGGCACATTCAGTATTAAGTTTGATAACTGTTGAAGGTGTCTAGGAGCTGCACTCAAGCCTTTGGTGATTGCATCTTGGGCCTTCAGGTTGTTTAGTTTAGGTTATAAAATCTATCCTGATACAAATATGAACAATAGAATGTTTTTGAGCTCAGGTAATATAAGAAATTGGAACATGAAATAAATGCCAAGAAATAAATAAGCTATCTAGAAATTATACTGTTGTCTTTAGTGTTCACATTGCTTTTCATTTTTTAAGGCAGAGGAAGCCCAAAGAAAACTAAGACGGCAAAACCGGGAAGACACAGGTACTTATGCTTCTAGTTTGTATTGGACTCTCTGTATTTGCTGCTCTCATTTTTTTAATATACTGAGAAAATCATATTGACTTTAAGCTAGATGAACAGATGTTGTGAACTAAAACATTTTTTTACTTTTTTTCCAATCAAAAAATAATGCTGCCATTAAACAAACATCTGAGTATGCCATAAATCAGAGCTCCCCAACCTTTCTGGCTTGGCGGCCTGGAAGGAAAGGGAGCAGCAGGGAAATGTGCGGCCCCACGCCTTCCCTGGGCGGTGCTAGCATGCATGTGCATGCGCAAGCAGGCTGCGCCAGCTACGACATGCTGGCTCAAACAGGCCACTGGTACCCACGTGACGCTGGTGGTGGTGCTAGCGTCCCCACGCATGCACAAATGGGGTTGCTAGTGCCCACGCGGTAGTGCTACCGTGAGTGGGGGGGCTCGCCAGCTATTCCCGGGGCCCAATAGCCAACAGGCCATAGCCCGGTACCGGGCCACGGATCATAGGTTGAGACCCCTGTCATAAATGACCAAATTATTTACCTCACTGCATTTGTATATGTGATATATTAGGCTGCTTCAAAATTTAATATCAGCTAAGAATTGTACCTCAAAACTCAAAACACTTCCCAAACTATACACATGGTTCTTCAGATTATTCTTGCCTAATTTGGGATTCATGAAATAAATGTAGTCACTATGTATATAATGTATGTAATGTATTCTAGTGCTTTACTAGCTACCTGTATGGTTTCAAGTAACTCAGGAAATGTCTGTTAAGTGCCATACATTATGATTAGTGTTTGTGTTGATTTGCAATTTGTGCTTGCCTTAAATAAAACTTTTTAAAGATCATATTATCTGTGGTTTTCTTAACATATCATGCTTGATTTCCCTAAGCAAATATAGTTTAAATTTGCTTATGCCAATAATGAAGTATTACAACATAATCTATAGAAGACTTTATAGAACTAAATATTATCAGTCAGAATGGTCTGGCGGTTAATTTTTAATCTCTGGATCATTTATTATAATGTTTTGATAACAGATATCATTAGCTCTGTCAGACTCTTTGACATAGAGTATTACCCTCCAGTGTTTCTTCATTCATCAAAAGTTATTAAATTGCATTGGATGCAACATGTGCCAGTTTGAGAAGCAACCAAATCTGTTTTGAGACACGTTACTTGAAAAGAAATCTCTTACTGAATTGTTTACATCTCTCTAGGGATATATACAGTGGGTACGGGTAGAATTATATTAAAAATAAAATAAACTAATTTATTTTGTTAATTTGAAAAGTTCCGCACCTGTTCTTATATGTTCCTAATATATTGAATTACATAACTGTATAACTTTCCCAATGTATTAATTTTTGTTTCAGCACTCCCACCTCCTGTATTACCATCATTTTGCCCTCTGTTTGAAAGCCTGATTAATATTCTGCAGTGTGATGTCATGTTATGCCTTATGAGAACAATCCTTCAGTGGGCAGTAGAGCATAATGGATATGCCTGGTCAGAGTCCATGCTACAAAGGGTGTGTAAATTTGCAGTTTTCATTAATTCAAGAATACAAATTATTTCTGATTTGTACTTCTGAAAAGGGAAATTTTGCCATTTTTTCCTAGATTCTCCACTTGATTGGAATGGCACTACAAGAAGAAAAACAACATATTGAGAATGCTAGTGAAGATAATCTTGTGACTTTTACATTCACTCAGAGGATTGCAAGTAGGTTGCTACTTCTGCACAAATTGCAATCTCTTCATATTTCTTTTACCTAACATATAGTAAGATATTCAGTTTCAGAATGAATTGGTTGTATTTAAAAACTTACTTTTATTAAAATATTAGAAATAATAAGAGTATGTGGAGATTCTTAGTCATCCAGGTCATAATTGTTTTCTCAAAGGTGCTTTTTTTCAAAAGGCAACTGAATTGCTTTTTCCTTGAGGAAGAAGATGTTTCACTTCTCATCTAAGAAGCTTCATCACTTCTGGCAGGATGGTGGGGGCAATGGAAGGATTAGTTCTGACAGGATGAGGGGAGGGGTTGGAAGGATCATATTTCTTTGCAGTCATCAGGTTGTTAGCAGTCTCCCTGAGACTTGGGAGATTATCTATGCCTTCAAGGTCACCTTGGTATTGCTGAAAGGACTGCATTGTAGACAGGAGATAGGTGGTGTCTTATCCCTCCCTCCTCTGTTGAGTGAGGGCTGCTCAGTATTACGTAAATAGCCTCTTTTACCCCTCTTTCAAACCAATGGTCCTCTATCAAGAATGTGGACTTTGCTGTCTTCAAAAGAGTGACCTTTGTCTTTCAAATGCAGATGGACTGCTGAATCTTATCCTGATGGGTTTGCTCTCCTATGTTGTGAAATGGTTGTTTTGTTTCACCAATGTACAGATCTGTACATTGCAGTACAATACTATGAGACATGTTACAGGGAAAATACACATATTAAATCTGCAGAACCCTTGCCCACTTCAGAACTGCATACCTCCAAATACAAATATATTTGTATTTTAATTGCCTTATTGCTGATTACAAATATTTTATTATAATTTTGTATATAACATAGTTTCTGTTTGTAAAAACACATATTCTCTTTTTCTGGCTAAGGATTATCCTACTCTTGTTTTTTACCATGTGCATATGATGCATTTCATGTACAGCTGTGACTATTATAGTTGATATATCTGTTATTTATATATATATAAATAGATTTTCTTTATTTTTGTTTGAAACAGGGCCTTGTGAGACACCCCGCAATTCCCCAAGTATATTAGCCATGCTAGAAACTTTGCAAAATGCACCCCACCTAGAAGTGCATAAAGACATGATCAGATGGATACTAAAGGTAAATTGTACTATACCCTACTATAAACTTTTTTATAGTTTTGTGGCCAAAATAAAAAAAAATAAGTAGCAAATACTAACATAGTTTCTTGTTCCAGACTTTTAATACTGTTAAGAAACTCCGAGAGAGATCTTCTACAAGTCCTGTTTTGGAGACTGAGGGAAACTTTATGGAAGAGGTAATATCAATGCAAGGGAAAAGCAACAAAATTTGGGTAGTATTGTGTGTCCAAAGACAGATTCTAAATATAATATGATAATCTAGCCAGCAAGTTATTTTACAAATTATTATACATTACTATGTAACGTGTCTAATAATTGTGTCGAGTTTTCTAATTAAAAACATTTTTAATCACTAGTAGAGTAGTGGTAGTCACAATAGGCAACTAATGGTGCATAGTAAAAGCTTTATTATTAATTGATAATGATTAACTGAGTTCTCTTTACCAAAGGGAAATTAATTTAATTCTGTGGCTTTATTTTACAGTTTAATTGAGTGCAATGTGAAGGAAAAGATTTAATAGAATTGTGGCCCTACCATTCCTCGCCTCATAATATGAAAGAAAAACAAATCCTGTCAAATCCAAATGTTTACTAGGTTGAGAGTGAACAAGCTGAAATTTAATTCCAGATAGGGTAGAGTACAGTTATCTGATAGAGTTGAGGATAGGTATACAATTGTTCTGAATAGGTTGCTCTGGAAGAAGTCAGGGAGTATATTTTCAAATTCTGCGTGGTAATGGATGCAAAGAGCACACTTTCATTTAGCAAATATTCCTGAGCTGAATATATCTGGCAACAGTAATCCATAACTTGCTAGCATTATCATTAGCTTATTTCAGTGTGCTCTACGTGGAGCAACCCTCAAAGGTTCTCAGGAATTTACAAAATGGGACCACTAGGCCATTAACTTGTGCACATTTTTATGATCACATTGTACTAATGCTGAAAGAAAAGTACTGGATGCCATTTGTTACTTGCTTAGTAGAAATAGTACATTTAAAAACCTTGTCTATCTAAGGGTTTGACTCTTGTTATGAGTTAACTTGAATATTATGATCTGCAAAAGAAGCCTTACTTACAGGAGCTATTGGTTAGGCGTCTGGTAAAGGGCCTTCTATTGTGTCATTACCACCTTGTGGAACATACACACTTCGAAATTGTGATTGGTCTCACTTTCTCTGCTTTCAGAAAAGGCCTCAATAGATCTTTCCATCTTTTGGATCTTTAATATTATCTTTGTACATTATTTGCAATGTTAAAAAATATAATGCATCCATAAAATTGTTTTATGGAGAGACATGCTATAACTTTAGTTAATAAAAATAATGTAAGAAAGATTTTCTTTAATGAATGACAGCATTCTTAAACAGGTGAAAAGTGCCAAATATTACTGTGTAAGAATGCTTGACTCATTTTGACTAATACTAATCTAATGTGTGCACTAAATATATAAATTACACATTTTCAAAGACTTAAATGATTAGTTGTATATCATTGCTGACACATCAACTTAACAGAGCTCACGAGATAAAGAAAAGGCCGAGAGGAAACGAAAAGCAGAGATTGCTAGATTGCGAAGAGAGAAGATCATGGCACAGATGTCTGAGATGCAGCGGCATTTCATTGATGAGAACAAAGAACTCTTCCAGCAAACCATAGATGAACTTGAAACTTCTACCTCCAGAGTGCACGATCATAGGTAAGATGAAAGTGTCAATAAACTTTGGCAACCTAAATGTTATTTAATTTTTAAACATGAAACCTTCATTTTATTCTTTTGTAGTAGCATTTCCATTAGTATTCATATTTCTAATTTCCTGACTGTTCGACTTATGTCTCCTTGTGTCTTCACAGACACAATCCAATTCAATTGTATATGTTACTCACAGAAAGGGTAATGCAATGTTGAACAATTCTCTCTCATTAGGAGATTCACTCTGTTTTGAACGTTAGAATAAAATGAAAGGTTTGATATAAATTAAGTAATAAATTTACCCCCTCCTCCAACCAAGCACCCAGTACAGCAGACAAATGCAACAGAGAGAGAAGAGAATTGGCACTTGGTTTCTTCTCCCTCACCCCACCTTTTCTCTTGCTGTTAAAATGAACATCCCACAAGAAAAACTCCACTTGTCTGGTGCTCCTTCTGCTAAAAGAAAAAGTTTCAGCTTTACTAATTGTTCTTTCATTGTAACAGTGATACGTATTTTTAACATTTGGCCTTCAACCTCCACATCCAGAGTTGAGGATTGCTTACTATGTTATAAAAATAATAATATAAGTACAAGAAACTGACCAAAATTATTTGAGTAAAGTGCAGCAAATAAAAGTAGTCCACAATTGGGACTAGAGTTTTGGTTGTTAAGTGAAGTAGTTGTTAAGTGAGATGGCCATGTGACCACTTTGCTCAGCGACCACAGTCTCAGCATTCCCCATTTCAGTTGTTAAGCAATCTCACACAAACTAAATCCCTCTCCATTCCTGAAGAGCTAAAAGGAGTGAGGGATTTTGAACTCCGTGCTGATAGTAAGCAGGTAGCTTAAAACCCTGCCTTTCCGAGGCCCTCCTGCTGCTGAGGTTCAAGTAGGCATGGAAATTCTGGATTCCCAAGCCCACTTGGATTTCCAAGCAAGCATGGAGCTCAAAATCCCTCTCTGCCTGCCTCTGTGGAGCTCTCCACACAGGTGGCAAGAAAAGGATGCCAAGATCCATGGCTGCCAGAATTCAAGCATGCATGGAGCTAAAAATCCCTCTCTCCATGCAGAAGTGGGGTGAGGAGGACCCTAAATTCTGCTTGCATTTTGGGAGCAGAGATCCAGGCATGTATGGAGCATGGACCCAAACACCCACGTCAGATGACCCAGGTCACGTGGTATGAGTAACATTTTGTAACAGATGTGCTTACATGCTGTAAAGCATCCTAACAGAATAACAGAGTTGGAAGGGACTTTGGGGGGTTTTCTAGTCTTCCAGTCCAACCCATTGTAATTTTGAATGCTCGTTAAGCAAGGATTACCTGTACTAGCCGCAATTAGTAAGGCTGAGAGAACTTTTTATTTGGCATTTAATTGACAGCAATTTGAGCTGAATTCTAAAATGGCTACTTCTATTTATTTGCATCTTTTTTTAAAAAAGTTAATATACGCTTTCTAGTTTGTACTTTAAAAACCAGTTGATAGTAAAGGAATCTATACTTAAGACATAAGCAGTGGGCTTTTCTGGAAAGTCTTTAGACACTGAAGATTCATCTTGTATGTACCTCTTGCAGGTTTCTGCTGTAGGTATCAGTGAGGATCATTTACAAAAGATTTATTTTATTTAATTGTTATATCAGAGTATTGTTATGGATTGTTGGTTATTGGCTGTTTCAATATTATGTTATCATGAATGATTTATATTTTATCTCACATTTTATATGTTCATATAATTCATGTAATTCCATGGGAGTTTTAGTTGCTTTTTTGAAATTTGCCATGAGTCTGTGTGGATATAGTGTCTCACAAATAAATAAACAACATTATGCTTCGCAGTAGGTTGGGGTAAGCTATGCATCTCTCACTGTAGGGAAGAACAATGGCAATACTCAGAGGATTTACAATCTCTGTTGCTCATGTCTGAAATGTAATTTCAGTACATCCAGGCCTGTGTCTGTACTGGTGATGGACACAATGGATTACATTTAAAGCCTCTGTTCTTGCTACTAATTTTAGCAGTCAGAATAATTTTATCATATTTTAGTAAATGTATATGTTTTTATTTCACTAGAATTTTGGTAAATATTTATATTTAATAGTTTTCTTCAGCTTCCAGAGGGTTCCAAAATATTACTCTACTAATATCCCAATGGAGAATTCAATCTAAATAACTTTCTATATCTCTGTATGCTCTGGAAATAGTTTGAAATTGTTATAAGAACTGTAGCACACTTACTGCTTCACATATGTTGCTTTTATTAAGGCACACTATAGAACATTCCTGGAGAAGAAAATGTAGCATAAGATGAGTTGGATAAAAAATATTTGCATTCAGTTATACATTACTTCAGTAAATATTCCAGTTAAATGCTTACTAATATCTTTTCATTCTAGTCCTTCAGTTTCAGATTCCAGGCTTATTGCCTTGGGTCCCGAGCAGACTAAAGTATGTGAACAAAGACAAATAGTTACTTGTATCTTATGCCAAGAAGAACAGGAGGTCAAAATGGATAATAGAGCAATGGTGCTGGCAGCATTTGTTCAGAGATCAACAGTCTTATCCAAAAATAGGAATAAAGTGATTTCAGATCCTGGTGAGTAGTTTATATACTATTTTGAAGGACCATATAACATTCAAACGCATAATATTCCATTCTGAATTATACAGGAAGCTTTTATTCATTATATTATAAAACAGTGTTTCTCAACTTTGGCAATTTTAAGAAGTGTGGATGGCATGCTAGTTGGGAAAATCTGGGAGTTGAAGTCCACACATCTTAAAGTTGCAAATGTTGAGAAACTCTGCTATAAAATAATAATTAAGTCAGCCCATTCACAAATATCCTAATGCTAGCTTAGTGTACTGGCCTAAGATTATTAGGATTTAAATAGTTATATGGTTTGCAAAACTTTTCATTTGTGTGCATGTATAAGGAATGTGAACAATCTTTGTGAATATTATCTGCTATTTTTCATATACAGAAAAATATGATCCATTATTTATGCATCCAGACCTGTCATGTGGAACACACACTGGTAGTTGTGGACATATTATGCATGCACATTGCTGGCAAAGGTAATTAAAAAAAATATTAACAGATGTTAAGTATGCTGTGTCAAAGCAGCCAAGATACATTTTTTTCCTACTGTCTACTATGCTTAGACAGTCATGTAATGTATGTTGCTGTATTACTGCCAAGAAAATTGTTTTATTCCTGCTCAGGCTTTCGCTATGTACTACATGCTTGATGAAACTTAGCCCTCTTGGCTTTTTTTTTTTTTTGTACACATTTGAGGTGCAAGAATGTTAGTGAGAAAGCAAATATATAAAAATTTCTTTCCTGAATTATTCTGTTTAGGACTTACTGCTTAAGACAATGTCATACTTAACTCCATTTGTATTTTCTGATGGCAAATAAAATTTCAGCTTGTTTATTAAAATTAATACTCACTTTTCGAGTAGACATTCTTGTTTTGTCAAACCAGTAGAACAACAAAAAATGCTTTAGATGTTAAATGAAATTTATTAGAAGAAAGTTGTTCAAACAAATTGTTCAGAATAATAAACAAGTATTATAATAATTTTCTTTACAATAAATCAGCTATTTTGTTACTAACCTTTCAAATTAGATAAACTACTGTTCAGTGCAGAAATTTTGCAACTGGCCATGATATATTTCAAGTCTGGGCTGAATTTGAGGTAGGGTTAGGAGTTCCAGGGCTGCTTACAACACGTGTGATCATCATGAGTGATGATGTTATGACATAATAGGTAAAGAATGACAGAAAGTTTAGTTCTCTTTTGTGATGGCCAAAGACCAAAAAGTTGCATTAAACCTTACACAAGTTTAAGATTCAATTTTGCCTATTATCTAACCTTTTAAAAAAAACTGGAAAAAATAATATGATTTTTGGAAGGTTAGGCAAGTTTTAAACTGAAGCTACCCATTTTGTCTCTTAAATTGCCTTCCCCGACTTTCCAGAAAAAAAACTAAGGCCAATATTTTTTGTATTGGCCATTTAAGGGATAGTTTGGGTCAGAAGGAGAACTGAGAAAATATTTACAGACCCTCACATAATAACAATAATAGAGTTGGAAGGGACCTTTGAGGTCTTCTAGTCCAACCCCCTGCTCAGGCAGGAAACTCTATACCATTTCAGACAAATGGTTGTCCAGTCTCTTCTTAAAAGCTTTCAGTGTTGGAGCATTCACAACTTCTGGAGGCAGGTTGTTCTACTGATTAATTGTTCTAACTGTCAGGAAATTTCTCCTTAGTTCTAGGTTGCTTCTCTCCTTGATTAGTTTCCATCCATTGCTTCTTATCCTGCCTTCAGGCACTTTGGAGAATAGCTTGACTCCCTCTTCTTTGTGGCAACGCCTGAGATATTGGAACACTGCTATCATGTCCCCCCTTGTCCTTCTCTTCATTAAACTAGACATACCCAATTCCAGCAACCGTTCCTTATATGTTTTAGCCTCCAGTCCCCTGATCATCCTGGACATAATCTGTTTCAATTCCTCCCCTTGGGATGCCGCTGTAGGGCATTGCATGCCAAAACAACTAGACACAGGGATATTTTTTTCCCCTCATGCCATGACTCTGCTGAACACCTAATTCCCACAATACTTCCTTATGTCTAAGTATATTTACCCATGTGGTACGGCTCTAGTAACATTATTATATTTCTCATCTTCTCTACTACCTCCTCTTACTGGTATCATTATTATGATTATTATTACTCTTTTGTTTTGCATGTACACTGAGAGCTTCCGCACTGGAGACAAATTCCTTGCATACCTAATCACATTTGGCCAAAAAAAGTACTCTGATTTCAATAAAGTGTTCTAGTAGCCAACAACTATTTTAGAACTAGTATTATAATATTATGCTTAAGTTATGTTGCTTTCCAAAGGTATTTTGATGCCGTGCAAGCAAAAGAACAAAGACGACAACAAAGATTACGAGTGCATACAAGTTACGATGTAGAAAATGGTGAATTCCTTTGTCCTCTCTGTGAATGCTTAAGCAATACTGTCATTCCTCTTCTTCCTCCTCCAAGGACTTTATTTAGCAGGTTAGTAATTCCATGAAATAACTTGTCTGTTAATTAATAATTATTTATGTACAGGTAGGCCTTGATTTATAATCAGGCACTTAGCAACCATTCAAAGTTACAATGGGCCCCCAAAATTATGCAATCTGTATTTGAAGTTCTGATGGTGTCTCTCTCTCTCTCTCACACACACACACACAGAGTCATGTGATTGCATTTTGCATGCTGTGCATCCATGATTATGATGTTTTTTGCTGGAAACTGGAATCTACTTCTAGTTTCTGGCAAAAGGCGCCCATTGGAGACAATGGGTTTGCTTAATGACTTCCACATTCGCTTAATGACCACTGCAGAAAAAGTCATAAAATCACGTGCAGGCATTTGATGACCTGCTTAATAACTGGCATGACTTACAACTGTAATTCTGGGCCCAATTACAATCGTAAGTTGAGAACTATTTGTATATGATAGATGTGGATAGTAGAGTGCTTCAGTTTGTCAAGATTTTGTTTATACACGTGGAAACAGTAAAGAACTCAGTTTGAAAGAATCACCATGCGTCATTCTTGGGTTTGGGGCCTGCATATGGTTACTGTTTGCCTTCCCTGTTGACTTCCCTAGAAAGTCAATGGGGAAGTTGTCAGGGGAGTCACAAGTCACTGGGGTAAGTCACTCCTACCTACACACCCAATCCCAAGCCCCTTTGCAGTTGCTCCCCCAGTGTATCCTTCTGACCCTTGCCACACCTCCCTGGCACCCTCATATGCACCCTTCCTGACTTGTACTGTGTTTCTTGAACACACTCTTTTACTCATCCTGCCCCCATCCCAACTTGTGCTGTGCCTTTCATGCATTTTCACAAACCTTCCTGACTCGTGCCAACCATTCCTTTCCTCCCCACACAATCCCTCCTTCTCGTCTCCCACCTGATAACAGCCATTTACCTGACTTTGGTTGTTGGAAGCCACCTGGAAGTTTCCTCACCTATTTATCGGTGAGCAGCAATGGGACTGCAGAGATTGCAGTTGCTAAGTGATGCATTTGCATTTTAGACCCCATCGGTTATCAATGGAAATTCCATTCCCAATTGCTATTGAAAGTCAAGGATTACTTATAAAAAGAGCTTGTAGGTACTGTTTTAATATTTAAGTAATATTTTACATTTGTTCGTTTTTGATAGATTAGACTTTGCAAAAGAACAAAATCTAGTTCAATGGATAAGAAGATTGTCTCAGCAAATCAAAGCATTGGTTATGCTTCGAGATCAGGAAAGTGCCAGTAAGTGTAAATTTTTCGTTTATACTGCCACGTATTTCTTGAAAGATGCTGAATACACTAATGTCTTTTTGGGTTTTTTTCTTTTGAGGAGGCGTTTTTCCTTAGTATAGATACTAATTCTGACCTTCAGGACAGAATTAAAGTGCTACTTCATCCTATCTAAAGATTTCAGGCATTATGGATAGTAATGATAATTTATTGTTAAAATAATATATTGTTGTTATTTTTAGATAATCTTCCTTGTAATAACTCAGAAAAAATGGATGAAGCACATCTACCTGAAGGATTTAGGCCAGAGGTTCAACCAAAGTATGTATTGGTTGCATTGATTATCAGTACTAATGTATATAATATAAGTAGAAGAATTTATGACATTAGCTTTTCAGGTAATATTTTACATATTTGTATTCATATTTATCCATATAGTATTCATCTTATGGAGAGAAACAGATATACTGAAGCTACTTGACTCCCTTTCTTTCATTCTGGGATAAAGAGTTGTGTCAGACTCAACCTAGTTATTATGTTTATGCCATTCAGAAGTTGGCTACTTTACTTAGTATTTGCTTTATTGTAACAGTGTAAGCTGGTGGCTAGTTTGAATGTTCAAAATCTAACCACAGAATGCCCAGCCCACAACATTCAGGGGTAATTAGCATTCAGGGGTTGCTAAAAAGAAGAGGGAATCAAGCTATTCCCCAAAGCACCTGAAAGCAGGACAAGAAGCAATGGATGGAAACTAATCAAGGAGAGAAGCAATCTTGAACTAAGGAGAAATTTCCTTAGAACAATTAATCAGTGGAACAACCTGCCTCCAGAAGTTGTGAATGCTCCAACACTGGAAGCTTTAAAGAAGAGATTGGACAACCATTTGTCTGAAATAGTATAGGGCAAGGGTGTCAAACTTGCAACGTCATGTGACGTATCACAACGTATCACGACTTTTTTGCCATTGCTGGCAATGGGGTGGGCGCGGTTTCGCTATGATGCATCCAGCCCTGGGGCTGGCAGTTTGACACCCCTGGTATAAGGTTTGGTTTCCTGCTTGAGCAGAGGGTTGGGCTAGAAGACCTCCAAGGTCCCTTCCAACTCTGTTATTCTATTCTATTCTAATTAGGACATCCTGTGATTTTTTTTAGGTATGTTAAAAAAAGAGTTGCCAACTGTGATTATGTTAACCATGGGTTGGATCCAATTATTCATTTTGCTGGCTGATATTCTACCAGCAGAAAAGATTCTTAATATTTATACAAAGTCCCAACTTTGCTCTGAGTATTGGGAAAATCCATCACAATATATTTGTAACCAGAAAGCATTTTGGAATAAATGTATATTCATAGGCTTCTACAAAAGTATTTTTGGTCAAATTGCTATTTAAAATATAACCAAGATTACTTGAAATAATGATATTAAATTAGTTCTCTGATATCTGTAAATATGTCACCAAACCAGTAGGATATATATTCCCCCTTTCTAATGTCAAAAGCCATTATATATAAATGAGAGTGTCAAATGGAAGCATTACCATGGATGGGATTAATGAAATAGTAATGACAAGGCCATTAATGTTAAACATTTCTCCATTTAGTCACTGATGGTTGCCACTAAAAATCAGGTTCAGCTGTTGGTGACTATATGGGCAAATGTTTGCTATGTTGGCCTGCCACTGTCTCTTCTGTCTCTTTGATTTCATCCATACACCTTATTCTTTACCTTACCTTTCTTTTACTTCCCTCTCAACCTTGCTTGTCTGACACAGGATGAGCTGCCACGACACTGGTATAATCAGTTTTTCTAAACTATCATCCATGTCCATCATATGCTCAACACATGTCAATTTTTGCTTGCTGATCATTATCTCACAGGAGCCTTCAATTTTATTTGGTCTGGGACTGATTCACTGGTTGTTCTTGCAATATTCTCAGAAACAGTAAAAGGGTGTGTCAGCCCACCCCAATGAAAGTTTTATTCCTTGCTATTTGGGGCAGGCAAATAAAGTTTAGCTTCTAAATACCATGTCATAACATTTGTGGATAATGGTGTCTATTTTCAATTAAGGAATCCATATTCTGAAAGCATTAAGGAAATGCTGAAAACATTTGGTACTGCAACGTATAAAGTTGGCCTGAAAGTTCACCCCAATGAAGACGATCCACGTGTACCTATAATGTGCTGGGGCAGTTGTGCATTTACAATCCAAGCAATAGGTAATATTCATTAAAATGTTGACAAATCACTGGAGAGTGATCAAGTTTAGATTCTGTGTTCTTCTCATTTAATTGTGGTTTTTATATTCTACAGAGCAAATTTTAGCTGATGAAGAAAAACCATTATTTGGTCAATTGTCTTGCAGACAGGTAAGAGTAACAACTACCATAGCCTAAATGACTGAGGGATAGGTATATATGGTAAGGTTATAACACTTATTATGATTCTACTATAATGTTAGAAAATAGCATTTTATAACATAAACAGTAAGTTGTGATGAATACTGTGACATTGTTTTCTTTTACCAAAGGCCCCTGTATATTAATTACTCTAGAATTTCAATATGGCCAATAATAATAAATGTATGTATGTATGTATTATGTAGGTAAGTATGTATTTATCCATCCATCCATCCCTTATTATTTTACAAATAACTCAAGGTGAACATATCCAACACACCTTTCTCCTTTTATTTTCCCCACAAGAACAACTCGGTGAGGTGGGCTAAGAGTGTGAGAGGCCCAAGGTTGCCCAGCCAGGTTTCATGGCTAAGGCAGGACCAGAACTCACAGTTTCCTGCTTTCTAGCCTAGTGCCTTCTGGTTCTTTTAATTATTAAGAATTAAGTTACTAATTATTAACAATCCACAAATTTTGATGTTCATTATAACAGTACAAAGGAATGAATATGGCTTTTTGTGAATGATTGTTATTATATTCTATTTAGGATGACTGTCTTACTTCATTAACACGATTTGCGGCTGCACAGTGGACAGTTTCTTCACTATTAGCAGTACAGGGTCACTTTTGTATGCTTTTATCATGTAAGTTCAACGTTATGATGATTTATTTAATTTCAGATAAAGACAGACTTTTAGTACATGAAACAGTTTGAATAGTCTTAAATATGTGAGACATCAACTGAAACATTTGTACAGATTGTTGTTGACAGAAGTTTTGTGTTCATTAAGAGTACATTTCCATATGAGTTGTGTCATTTATTAACATGGAATACAATGAACAGGATATATATGGAACTCTGACTGTGGATTATGCTCTGGATAGAGTCTTCAATTTGGGGCAAAATGTGCTTTAAATAATGTGTTTTACTAAAACACAATTATGATTGTTGGTAATGAGAGTAACTCTACTTGCCCTAAAAGAGATGTGAGTTTTAAAAGTTATCATAAAATGTTGGTTTGCCCTGTGTACAGGAGTCCTTGACTTACAACCACAATAGAGCCCAAAATTTATGTTGCTAAGCAAGACAGTTGTTAAGTGAAGTTTGCCCCATTTTATGACCTTTCTTGCCACAGTTGTAAAGTGAATCATTGCAGTTTTGAAGTTAGTAACACAGTTGTTAAGCGAATCTGGCTTCCCCATTGACTTGGCTTCTCAGAAGGTCGCTTAATTTGATCACATGACCCCAGGACACCGCAACTGGTTGCCAAGCCTCTGAATTTTGACCATGTGACCTATGCTGTAAGAGAGAGATGAAACCTATGGAATGGCCAGCCTCTCTGATCACTTTATGAGACCCTTCATCAGTTAAGAAGCTGATTCTCCAAAGTGCCTAAGGGCAGGACAAGAAGCAATGGATGGAAACTAATCAAGGAGAGAAGTAACCTAGAACAAAGGAGAAATTTCCTGACAGTTAGAACAATTAATCAGTGGAACAACACCTTCAGAAATTTTGGATGCTCCAACACTGGAAGTTTTTAAGAAGAGATTGGACAACTATTTATCTGAAATGATATAGGGCTTCCTGCCTGGGCAGGGGGTTGGACTAGAAGACCTTCAAGGTCCCTTCCAACTCTTATTCTGATCTGTCCTATTCTGATGAATGTGTGAATCACCGACACAATGAAGTACATGAAGCTTTTCAAGTGGTTATGAATTTACATAATCAATCTTCCTTATCCAACTTGCCTCAACAGGAGATTAATTTTCTTTTGAATTAATTGTATCAGTTTTAGACACTGAACAATTTCAATTCATGTCTGATCAAGTGGCATGGTTGGAGATATATCTCCCAAACAACTTAGAATGTTCCAAATGAGAAACTGCAGTTCTGTGCAGATGATCACTCACAAATCTTGGAAAAGGTGCAGTTCTTGTAAGGAATGATTGACAGGTACCCCAGCGTGTTCATGCCAGATCCAAAGCATACTTAACTATTGCACATATTTTCCCACTACTATATCAGTAACAGTTTTTTAGTATCTTCAGTGGAAGTTTTTCCTAGTTTTGCTAGCTGACAGTTTTTGAGTTGGAAGTGATAAGACTCCAAAATTGAGAATGAAAATAATGGATATAATTATTCTCTATTTCTATGTTGTAGGCTTTTATCCTGTAAACCAGTTATTTTGCAACCCGCATTTTAAAAATATATCAGATATATTCTGAAACGTATGAAATTTCAAGACCTAGATAAATGACCTAATTGATTATTTGGCTTCTGTTGTTTTGCAAGTACATTGAGTGCTTCTGTACCAAATTCCTTGTGCATTTAACCACACTTTGCCAAGTAAAGTAAAGTATTAACTTTTTTTTATATTTTAAACATCCAGCACTGGTGCCTTATGAAAAAAGTGGAAATCTTCCATGCATTCTTGATATCGACATGTTTCATTTATTGGTAAGTGATTAAAAATCCCAATAGATTGCTGTAGAAAATATGTTTAGCAAGATGTTTTGTTAAATATAAATTGGTTTAGCAAGTTATTTTATTAAGCATATAGCTCAGAAAAATATTTCAAGGTAGATCACCATTTGTATATGGTCCAGAACTTCTGGAGTGTCAAATTTCCTTTTTTGTAGCAGCAGTAGTAGCAATTCAAAACTGTTACCATTATGCTTAATGCCAAGGAGGTTTCATCACTTACCATTTTTCCTTTTATCTGCAGGTATGCTTGGTATTCTCTTTCCCTGCTGTACATTGTCAGGACTTTTCAGGAGTCAGTCTTGGTACAGGAGATATTCATATCTTCCACCTTGTCACTATGGCACAAATTGTGCAAATAATACTTACCTCATCCACAGGTACGGTATACTGTCAAGGCTATGCTGAATTTTGTGTAGGAAAATTAGGATTACAATGACTTTA